TTTTTATAAGGCTGAGTTTTGATTCATGTCTGCTTCTTCTCCAAAATACGTGTTTTTACTTCTCATTGAGAAAAACAGACCTGGGGGAAGGATTCCCAGAAAGGAAACAGTCCATTTCAGATCTTGAACCGCTGATAGTTTTAAATACCTGAGCACCTAGAGTGTTGTGTGGGCTTGCCAGGAGCCAGGCAAGGCAGTGTGAACATGGGCCAGGCTGCAGCCCCACAGGGACCCCACCACGAGATGTGCAGCCCAGGCTCACCTTATGAGGCCGGGGGACCACAAGTCCCCACACCAGGAGGAACAGAAGACACTTGGCTACCCAAGGCACTGGTTTCCCTGCCAGACTTTTGATGGGGGAAAAGCTCTGGGACCTGCTGCTATAGCAAAAGCTTTGTCTAGGATTATGATTCCTTACTTTCTGTTAACAGCTTCAGGTATGCTGCTACCTTCACCTTTCTATTTCCTTATGTACTTTTTTAAGCATTCTCCATGAGTAACTGATTTACAATATTTTTTTTAAGCTCTATTGCAGCACCCAAGTCCTCCCAGCCTTGTGGTTATGTGGGAGCCTGACAGGCACACAGATTTCCACTAAATTCAGAATTACTGCATTTGCTCTTTGAGATGCAGTGTGAGGATTTCTTTCAGCAACTGCTTGGTCCAACATCTCCCTCTGGTGGAAAACAGAGAATAAAGCAGGATAAAATAGAGCATCATACAGAATAACATACTTAATTGAATGCCATGAAAATAATAAAAATCTCGGTCCAGGCCATGATGTTCTCTCTAATTGCTACATTTATTCCTAATGAATTCGAATGTTATCTCAAATAGTCCTCATCTGGAAAAGAATGGTAATGAACGGTGAATGCTAATTTTCCTGTATTTTCCAGAAATTTGACAAATTTGTTTTAAACAGAGGTCAAAGCCACTATCTAAACAATACCTCTTTATGGCATTGTTTCTGTGAAGAAAATCAACACAATTCCTTGTTGCAAAAAAATATTCTTTTGTGCTCAAGCTCCAAAATCCATCATACATCCAACCTGCTGTCTGTAATTGCAAGGACTGATAAAAATGTCTCAAAATATAACTGTTCTCCTTCTATACCATAATTACACCTTTGAAGTTCCATGTGAGTGTGACAGATTGGTTGCCATCTGCCAGGGGTGCCTATTCAGTGTAGATCAGAAAATACAAATGAGAAGGAAATACTTAAGTATAGCCTGGATAACTTTTGTCTGGACACGTATGGGATTAAGGAATAGTACAGAGATAAAATGCCTTGCACAGGGGACAGCTATGTCTTTCTTTAGGCACCTTTCATCAGCATGGGAGGTTTGGGAGGTTTAATGAACCTTCCACTGTTAATCCTCTCCCATCTGCAAGTGTTTCCCTGACACTCGTTCTGTGATTCCAGATGAAAACTATGGAGCTGATGCAGCAGTACAGAGAGATTTAAGATGAAAATGGAGTTTTGAAAATTTTTCAATTGCTGGCTCAGCTTCACCTGGAGCTGGAGAGGTAACAGAGGCCACATCTTTGCTTCAGCTCCATGCAAGAGTCTTGGGTGAGGAAGAGAATCTCAGGGGTGAATGATGTGTTATTGCCAGAGACTGACACCCGAGGGTGGGCAGCTGAACCAAGAGAGGACTCATCTCAACATCTCATCAGCTGCCTAAAGCCTAGAAGCAGCCAGTGTCAGTGATCTGGCTTGCAGGCATTTGAACAGTGTGACTCTCCTTTGTGGGCAGGTCTATAGTCAGCACAGGGCAGCATTGCTATGTATCACTCAGTCTTTGCATGGCACGACCTTAGACAGGGAGAAAACCGCTGTGAGAAAGAGGAAGATTTAAAAAGGAATTTCAAGTTAGAGACTGGGGAAGTAAGGAGGAAGGGAGGAGCAGTGCTTCTTGATGGCATATCTTTAAAGGTGCCTCTTTGACCTCTTTATAACCACAAGTAAGCATTGCTATAACCATGAACATAAGGGTCTAAAATCCTCAATTTTTATACAGTGGTATTGAAATATCAGAGACATCCCAGAAGAGAGATAATTACTGGGTCGTTGTAATAGCATGGTAAAAATTACATGGGAAAGAACCAAAACAGATCCCATCCAAATGAGGCAAAGGACATGAACTCCGTCAAATTAAAAGCAGATACAGAAAGGCAAACTAAAAAAAGATTCTCAGGAAACAACCTGCTACTAGACAAAAAGCCTTTTCTATCCTAGCAGGAGCAGGGAACCTGCTGGAGAGTTCTGCAGGTGATCAGGGTGTGCAGTCAGTAGATGATCAGGGTGGCAAAGGAGTTTGAGAGAAAACAAACCCTAACACAACAGCTAAACAGATTACTCGTGTCTGGCTTCAGCATAGAAATGCTTAGTGAAATTCCCACGGCAGAACCACTTATTAAAGGGATAATGCAGAGAGGCTGCCACAGATTGAAGGGCCATTAGATGAGGCTTTAGAAGAAATTGATGCAAGGGATAGTAACAAATTCATGAGAAGCAGATGTTTCTCGTTTGTGGGTTTTTAAGGCACACTAATGGAAATTTTTGCACTATAAGAGCAGATGTATAAGCTCTTACTTAAAACAGCCAAAGAAAGAAGAGGATGGCATGTGATACAGTTTTCTTTTAAGTGCCGTGAGGGATTTAGAGAACTGCAAACCACTGTATCTGACATCTGTAGCAGGTAAACAGCAAAAGCAATAGTAATAGAACAGTTGCAAGGACAAACACAGGCTAAGAGGAAAGAATTGGCAGAGCTTGAAGTGAGGACCTATGAAGCTGTGCTCCACCACTCTTACATCTTCAGAGCATACAGTGAAGCTGCAGAATAGAGCGATCTGTTTGGCATGATCTGCTCAGCTTCTGAAAAGCCTTTAATAACATCTGTCACCCATAAAGAAGCTAACCTGGCACGGAGTAAGAGGGAAGATCCTCTCATGAGTCAGCAACTGCATACAGGATAGAGACAAGGTAAGGGTAAATCATCCATTTAATCTTCACAAATCTTCACAGTGGAGAGAAGTCACCAATGGCATCTTAGAGGGATAGTGGTAGAGTCAGTGCTCATCCACATATCGATTAGTCAGGCAGTAAATGCTTGGGATTACTTTAACCCAGATGCAGCACCTTGCACTTGGCCTTGTTAAACTTCATGAGGTTTGCACAGTCCCATGTCTCCAGCCTGTCCAGGTCCCTCTGGATGGCATCCCTTCCCTCCAGCCTGTCAACCTCACCACACAGCTTGGTGTCATTGGCAAACTTGCTGAGGGTGCACTGTCCATGTTGCTGACAAAGATGTTAAACAGCACCAGCCCCAGTACTGACCCCTGAGGGACATCTTCACTTGGGACACCATCCCTGGCTTTGTTGAGAACAAGGTCCATCATAGCACCTCTCCTTGTTGGCTGCTCTATCACTTGGAGAAGGAAGTTGTCATCAGTGCATTCCAGGAACCTCCTGGATTGCTTATGTCCTGCTGTGCTGTCCCTCCAAACGATATCAGGGAGGTTGAAGTCCCCCATGAGGATCAGGGCTCATGAGGGGAACATGAGGCCACTCCTATCAGTCTATAAAGGGCTGAACCTCTTGGTCTTCTTGTTTGGGTGTCACAAATGAGTGTTATAAGTGACCTGTAGCAGACCCCCAGTATAATGTCATGTGTCCCTGCCCTACCTGTGATCTTGACGCACAACCTCCTGGTCAGATCTTGACCCATCCCCAGGTGAAGCCCCCTGCATTCCAGCTGCTCAGTGCCATAGAGGGCAACACCCCTACCTGTCCTTGAAGATCTTATATCCTAATTGATGTCACCAGTTAAATACAAAGTTCATCCCCTACCAGGAGTACACTCTGCAGTTCTGGTCCCTCAGTCTCCAAAAGAGTATGTTAGACTGAGGAAAGGTATAAAGATGGGCACATATAGGATGATTTTATAGGGGTAGCAGCTATTATGTAATTATGTATTATGTAAACCAAGATTCTTCAAGGTGGAAAAGAAGAGGGAGGGTGGTGGAGTTCTATAAATTCAAGAAGGATCATGGAGAATAACTAGTCACCATCCCTCATATGATGCAAGAAAGGGGCATCAAAAGATGTTTTCAGGTTCAAGACAAAGATAAAGACAAGGAGCTCTGCTCCTGGGCAAAGAAGCGTGTCTCTTTACAGAACCTGTTTTCCCAAGATGTTGGGGATTACAGAAGCACCACACATGGCTTTAGAAGCAAGTCGACAAATGTGTGGAAGATGAATCATCTAAAACATGAAGCTGCCCCTCAGCTGAGGAAGACCCTAGGCTAGAAGTGGCCGCCCCCTCTGCTGGCCATGGCCAGAGCTAGGACACCAGACTAATGGGTGCAGCTGAAACCATTCTGATGTTTTTATCAACCAGACAACTTTTAGAAGTAAATTAGAAGAAACCCCATGGCTCTGCAGAGCATAAGTGCACAACCACAGCTTTATTTTCTCATGGAGCTATAATCACCCTATTTGCATCAGTAGTGTTTCTTGCTCCAGGATAAGCTACACTGTTCGCTATTTTTTAAGATTAAAATAAAGATTTAAGAAAAAAATAACCCTTTCCATGTATTTTTATGTTCTGTGTTAGCTGAGGACAAGCTGCAGTTTGACAAGCCCTACACCAACACTGCTGCCAAAAGCAGCAGCTCTGCCCTCTCATACCACTGGAAAGGACAAATAGGGGGGGACAGAGGGGGGAATGCAAAATTAGCCCTCAGAGATGAGAAAAAGAGGGCAAGGCTGCTGAAGGCAGGGCTGGCTTAGGCTGGTCCAGGCGCTTATTGACCTGTAACTTAATTTGGTGATGTTTCTTTTGACAGCTGTCCTTTGCAAAGGATAACTGTCCTCATCCCCAGAGAGAACAGCAGAAGTTGGCAGCCATGACTGAATGTGGTCTTTCTTGGCCATGTCAGGCTATCCCAAATAAAAGAAAATCCCTTGTTTATGAAAGGAAACACTACAGAAGTGACCTTTGCTCCATTATTAGAACTTTATTTATCAGTTCATTTTAATAATGTAAATTCTTGAAGGATTTTGAATAGTTTTTGTAACTCTAACAACTAAATAATAGACAAAAGTGGATGATACTCTTAAATGAGACATTTAAGATCTAATGAGTGGTTTAATCACTAACAATCGGAGTTGTACTTTGATAGTAAGAACCAGTATTGCAGAGTGATTATCTTCCACATCAAAGAGCTTGAATTGCCAAGGGGAGTGTAAAGCCCAGGTTGGCCTCTGCCATGGAGTGAGATGGTCTGGTCTCTGGTGACTCAGCTGTCTTACAGCAGAGGAGCTTGCTCAAATTTACAGACAAATTTGTCTTTAGAGCATTTATCTAGTCTTAAATGGCTCTTCTCTTTTATGAAACCGATCCTGGTGTTAGAATCCCTGTTGGTTTGTCTCCAGTTTATTCATATCAGCTGTTGCAAGGAATGCAGACAGTGTGGATGTGAAGTAGAAAAGAGATGCTTTCATTCCCAAGCCCACTCTGAAAAATCCTCTTCTGTGGAACGCAGACCACGTCAATGTTGCTATGTGGGGTGGGGGGGAAATGATCTGTCAGAGCAAAATCTGAGGGGCTTGGAGGAAAAAATACAAACTTGCAAACAAGTGTGAGAAAAGATGCACAAAACTGTAGTTCTATGGGGCAATGTTAGCAGAAACTAAGTTCTCTGAGGTGTAATGTGAGCAAATGCAGTGATCAGTATCACAAACCTGTCTTAAAATCTTTGTGGCAGACAATGACCTAACATTGCTTTCTGTAAGAGCTGACCTGGAGTGCCGTAATGCAGCACTGTGTGGGGTTTTCTTTTCCTTGTAAATTATACGGTCAATGACAAAATTTTTCAGCAAGATGGCAGGAGCAAGGGCAGTACTAGATTAGATTTGGCACAAAAGGAAAGAACTGATTTTTACTGAATCTGAACCTAGTGCATCTGACACCCTTTAGATGCAGATGCAAAAATGATAAATGGAGGTTATGTGTATTATCCTGCAGCGATATGATCCCTGTTACATGAAGAGTATTTATATATCTTGTCTTCTTCTTAACATGAGGCTAGGACAAAGGCCCAGGGCAGCAACAATGCCACACAGAGGAGACGAACAGCTGGACCAATACTTGGAGCAACCCACCATGCCTTTCCAAGGTAGCAGCTGGAAGCCAGGTGAGATACCACCGAATATGTGCAATTCAACAAGCTGTTGACTTAGTTTCTTTCCTTTTCTTCCATAATGGAGTAGAAGTCCAAGCTGCTACTGGGAGATGTAACACTAGCCTGCTGTAAATGGAAAAGGAGCCTCTGGGATTCACAGCTTGGCCCCTGATGAAGAGCCTTGCAGGGCAGCAATGCACTCTCCCACCAGGCGAGCAGCCTCTTTGGCTGTGCCCCTGTGTACCGAAAAGCCACCTGCCCCATGCCCATAGTTGTGGACCACTAGGAGCTTAGCTCCTCCTTGGCTCAAAACCTCCCTCTGCAGTCTCACACACTGCCTGGATGGCCTCAGGCCCACCTTCACTTTGATATCCCAAGCTTCCCGCAGTGAGGGTTCAAGGGAGCAGCATCTGTCAAAGATGTCTTTGGTAGTGTCAGGGTCAGGGGAAAGACTCCAGTTCTCCTTTTCCCTAGTTCCCCCCAGGGTTACCCTGTGTATCCCTGGGTAGATGTAAGTTAAGCCATCCCCATCCCGGATGAAGTTCTTCACCCAAGGAGCATAAACCTTGAGTACTTGTCCCCTGACAGGGAAGAGTTTCTTGTCCCCCACCAGCTGGTGGGCTCCAATGCCAGCGCAGTTGACGATGATGTCGTAGTCACTGTGCAGCTCCCACAGGTCTGAAACTTTTCTCTTGTACATCTGGACGCCAGTTGCTTTCAACCTGCAAAAAGACTCCAGAAGTGAGACAGGAAAGAAACCTCAAACCCCTAATGTAATTATTATGAACATTAGGTAAATGAGATAGATTGCATTTGCCTTTACATAAGGATCAAACTCAAACAACAGATGGGACAAAAAAATGTAAAGAAAGTGCCGTGGGGGTTCTGTTTGTCATTTGTCTGATTTGATCTCATCAAAGCTATTTTTTAGCTTGGTTGGGCTGAAAAAGATACAGCAAGCTGATCAAGCAAAGGGTCTGGCAGAAGACCCTAGGCAGACAGTCAGATCCTCATGGTCTCATTGATTTCTGTAACAGCATCAAGCTTTAACAGCTCAAGCAAGCAGAAAACCGACAGATTTATTTACCAACTTACTACTGCTGGTGACAGAGCTATCATACTGCACCCCTTCTGATGTGCCTGTTACATGCCATCACATTCATTCCCAACACCCCTCCTGAACCACACAGCCAGGCCCTAAGATGTCCATGCAGGCTGGGCAGATGTGGCATGGGACCCCCGGGGAACACACAGCCTCCTAGAGCAGCAGCCAGGAGTCACCCAGGACAGCTCAGAGCACTATACATTCATGCCTGCTCTTCAGCAAAAGTCACTTCTTCTTGACGTTCATTTTTAAGATCAATTTCAAGCCAAATCGTCCCCTGAACTTGCCTGAAGCTTGAAGCTCTTCCCTGTGGAAAATCACTGGCGTGAGATGCAGTCACTGCATGCTGTCAGCTGGCTCCAGTTGCTGGGGGTTTTTACTGGGGGGTTTTAGCATGAGCAAGTCAGGAGACAGGTCTGTGATAGTGATGGGAAATCCTGTCCTTTGCAGTATTCCAGCAGCTGGCAAAGTCATCAACCTCACTATACAGGCAATGGTTTCCCGCAAAGCAGTGAGTGAGAGAAGGATCCAGGGCATAGATGATGCTCTGAGGCCTGGTGCAGCGGGACATTGAGGCTGATCAGGAAGAACAGGGGAGGTCTCATGCAGCAGCTCTGGCTGGGTGACTTGCTGGGAGAGCTCATACGTGTTGTAATTGGAACTCTGTCATCATGCCATTAAAAAAACACCAATAAAAAAAAAACTTCTGAAAACTCCATAATTCAGGCGAGCAAGCAGGAATAAAAAATCCTGAAGTCTATTTTTGGACCAGCCAGGTGGGCACAAAAACAATTTTCCTCGTGGATTGCCAAGAGAATAGTCTATAAATACTGCTCAGGTCACCAGGGATTTGAGAATTAGTTACATATTTAATATGCTCTCGCTTCTCATCACCAGGGAGAAGAGAAAGAAAAAGAGCTTCATCATCTCATTAGACTATGTCCTTTGAGAAATAAGAAGACTACAGCAGGAATGAGGAGAGGGCAGAAATCTCACGGCAGATACTAAATGGGTTGTACAACTCAGTTGTCCTGCAGCAGAGATTGCTTGTGTTAGGCAATGAAACATGACAGAGAATGTGTACCAAGTAGACGGCATAGACCTCACTGGTGCCCCGGGAGTACTCCCATCCTGGCTGGCTGCTAGAACAAGAAATGCTTTTTTCACATTTTGCACTGTGATGAAAGGCATCCAAGTAACCAGCTGAGCTGGCTGGCAATTTGTACCTTGGTGTCAGTACACATCTCTTTACTTAACCTCAAATCAGTTTGCAGACTATTGCTTTCTCTCAATCAGAGACAGCTATTTGCTCACTTTAGAGGTACTTACACGGATTAAATACACATCCCAGGCGTCAAAGCCCTTTTAGATCTGCATCCTATCTCTCCTGCCATTCTCCAAAATCCATGTATTTTTTGGAAACTTCGAAATTTGGAAATTAGCAAATCTTCTAACTTTACTGTCAATCCAGGCATGAACTCTGAAGCCACAACTCCTCAGAGTGAGTGCATCACCAATTTTATGCAGGCAAAAATTTTCAGGTTTGTTACAAGATGATACTATTTAACATTTTTTTTTTCACCTGACTGGATTAAGAAATTACTCCAACTGTTGACCAGATTTGAGATTAATTAGTCCAGCCACTTCTTAAGTGCAAAGTCTTCTCAGATAAGACACCTTCCTGGACATGCCTATTCTCTCAGGGGCTGGATGTATCTTCAGAAACAGAGGGATATTATTTGGGAAGTTTGACAAATGAGGAGCACCCAAACATTTTCTTAGGATATGGCAGGTTCCTGATGTACCTTCAAGGTCTAGCTGGCCAAGCATGGCCCCTGTGGTTAGGTTGGTCCTTTGCCCAGGGTTGCTCACACTCCAAACCCCACTGTACAAACACATTGGGAGAAAGCAGACATTGCATAAATGGGGCCTTTCACATTTTTGAAAAATTGGGTATTAATTTCCTGTGCTTCTCCCTAAGGAAGAGCTTGTTGCATTTTCCCCAGTGGCAAACAGCATTTTTCCAGCTTTGTTCAAACCTAAGGTTCTCAAGGAGACCTTGTGTTGCCCCCAGTCCCTCTGCCTGAGTTTCTCTCCATGTGCCCAGCCTGCAGCAAAACCCACCTTTTCTCCAGCCACAGCAGGTAGAATGGACAGTCACATTTCAGTGTCGTAAAGGCTTGACCAAATCGGTACTGTGGGAACTTCTGGAGTTCTGCTTCAGACATTGGTCGAAATCCTAGGACAGCATCTGACCAGAAAGGTAACTCTTCCTTGGGAGTGCTTTTAAAGACCTGCCACCTAAAAGGACAGAGAGAAAAACCTAGAAAACTTCACTGCTAGCGCTCTGCTGTGTTATGTGTCACATCAATCTTAGCACAAACCCAGGAGCTGAGGAACCTGCTTCTGCTCATTGGTACAGCTCTGCAAGGTTAACAGCAACAGGGAAACATTGCTGCCTGCTACTGCAATACCTGCCGAGACAATTAGGCAGAGCTGAGCTTCAGGGTGACACTGGGGTAAATAAACTGCAGAGAGCTCTTCCAGCAATAGTGCATGTACAGAGTCCCCACATACAGTGTCCCTGCCACAACTGCAGACACCTGCATGGAGCTGGTAGGGCCACTTGCACACCTGCTCATGGTTCTTTGGGTACCCATAAAGCTAGAGTGCCCAGTCTCAGTACTCCCGAGAGGTGAATTTCTGTGTATGTAATAGGCAGCATAGAATACTCCCAACACAGACCCCCCCAACTGCATCCCTGTACCTAGTTACTGAAGCTGGAAGATCCTCCTGTCCTATTCCTATGAAAACCACCCCAGATACAAGCAATTGGTGGATGACAGTGAGGAAAACATCAGTTATTGAAATATAATTGGTGCTGGTCATTCTTGAATGGTTTTTCTGTGCACACCTATGCATGAATTTTGCCTAAAAATACATCATATCTGAGCAGTTGCAATGAAGTTTCTTGGGAATACGGTCACAAAAGCTAGTTCATGAAGGGAATGCACCTGAACTCCAGCAAGGAAAACCTCTCTGACTGCTCCAGAACGCAGCACAAACATACCAAAGGCTGCCCCGGGGGGTCATTCTTACCCAGAGACCAGGTGAATGCCAGCCTCTGACGCCTCGGCTGAGTTGCTGATGGCAAAAAGGTAAGTGAAAGTCTCTTTGAACCACTGCTTCTGCACGTGAATCGGTGTGCCTGGGTGTGAATGAAACCAAACATGCAGAGAGGAATAATGCAAAGAATAGAAGTGTACAAATGAGTGTCAAGGATATGGGACAGGCAGGGAACTCAGTTCAAGGTACTTGTCTTCCTGAGCCTCAGCGCATCGCTGCACACCCGGACACATGGCTGCTCAGGGTGCCATGGGCAATGCCATGGTGAACCGCACGAACCTGGGTACGTGTGAGGAATGAGCATCCCAGCAGCAGCATCACTCGTTGTGTTGGGGCTGAACTGGTCTGAAAGGACTGTCACAGAGCAGCTGGGACAAGTCTCCACAATGCACAGTGCTGTGGACAGGCCGACAACTCCCGCGCCGACCACTGCGACCTTGGGTGATGCCATCTCCAGGATACAGAGGCAGAGGACAAAGAAACCTACCTGCATTCGGAAAAAACATATCACATGTCACTATTATCCAGGCTGCACACCCTCACCAGGCTATGAAATACCCACACAAGATGTAACTTAAGCCCCCCGGAGCAACTCATTGAAGGCTAACTGCTGCACACAACCAAGGCTAAGGTAGGATTAAAAAAATCATCAGCCTTTGATCCGATGACAGATTTTTGAAAAGTACTTCATCCTCCGCACAGGGGCAAGAGAGAGATCTGTACATGCACCATTGGTGTTCTGACTGGTTTGTGGCAAGGTTTTTTTAATAAAACCCCAGTCGAGTTTTCAGTTGTGTCAGGTGCAAAAGTTATGGAGCTCTGGAGAAACTGGCTTTTTGGCACTGTAAGGAAAAAGGTTGCTGGATCTCCAGCAATGAGAGCTGTTGCTACCTGGGCAGCAGAAGCAAATCACGCAGGAGGCAAAATGATTACACTGAGCAAAGGGTCCAGCCATTGCGGGAGATGCTTTTCCTTAACATTCATCTTAGTTCTCCTGCTCCTGGGGGAGTGCAAGGCTCTTGCTCCGCCTCCGAGCAATGTGTTACCTGCTTAGCTCTGTCCTAGAAAACAGGAATTTTAAACATAATGTATATTTTCACGTGGTACAACCTGGCTGTTTACACGCCCACATCCAAAAACTGTTTGGGCCATGGTGCCTTGGAAGGAAAAGTACGGGAAGAGAAGCTACCTGTGTTATGCGGAGTTTTGTGCCCCTAGTGACTGGAGGTCTCCAAATCCATTCTTGACCCTTGTAGCTGCCAGCATGGCCCCAGTACCTTGGACAGATCTGTGGGCATCCAAGGTTGCCATGCTCTCTCAGCAACACACAGTGGTCCCCAGGAGCCAGCCAGTCTCGCTGCCTGAAGGGCCTGTATATTTGCCTCTCTCTGCCTTGCTTTATAAGTTGCTTTATGCCCTGGAGCAGCTCCACTCCACTTCACTCCTCAGAATTTTCGACTGCTGATTGCTACTCCAGGAGGTGCAGCATTTCTATTTTCCCTTGTCCTGGCCAAGTTTTGGAGCTTGGCACCTGTCCCGGTGAGTGGCGCACAGCTCTGGTCGGCAATCACCTGGCTGCCCATCCCAGCGAGATGCCAGCCTGTGTGCCTGGCCACAGCCGGTTCATAGTTTTCACACTGGTGAAGGCATGAAGTAGAACTGAACCATGCAGCTCAGTGTGCTCTGAAAACTCCCAGAAGCCAGGACTAAATGGGCCCAAAAGAGAGAGACTGGGCAACCTCAGAGATGATAAATCCTTTAGCAGCTTTGAACCAGGTGAGCTGGGATGCACCTGCTGGCTCAGGCACCCCGTCAAGCGGTTACTGTCAAAAGCTGAGCAGGGACCACAGAATCATAGAATCACAGAATATGCTGAATTGGAAGGGACCCACATGGATCATCGAGTCCAACTCTTAGCCCCACCCAGAACCATTCCCAAGAGTCACACCTTGTGCCTGAGAGTATCATCCAAATGTGAGGTTTCGTGCTGTGACCACTTCTCTGGGGAGCCTGTTTCAGTGCCCAACCACCCTCTGGGTGAAGAACCTTTTTGTAATATCCAAACTAAAGCTCCCCTGACACAACTTCAGGCCATTCCCTTGGGTATTGTCACTGGTCACCACAGAGATCGGTGCCTGCCCCTCCTCTTTCCCTCACAAGGAAGTTGTAGACTGCAATGAGGTCTCTCCTCAGACTGCTCTTCTCCAGGCTGAACAGATCAAGTGCCCTCAGCCACTCCTCATACAGCTTCCCCTCAAGGCCCTTCATCATCTTTGTTGCCCTCCTTTGCACTCTCTCTAATAGCTTTATATATTTCTTGTATTGCACTGCCCAATACTGCACACAATATTCAAGGTGAGGCTGCACCAATGCAGAGCAAAGCAGGACAATCACCTCCTTCAACAGGCTGGAAATGCTTTGCCTGATGCTCCCCAGGACACGGTTGCCCCTCCTTGCTGCCAGGGCACTGCTGACTCATATCCAACTTGCCATCAACCAGGATGTAGGGGAATAATCTCCTTTGGCTGTGGCTCTATTTTTTCCCTGGAGCATACTGTCTATCAATATTCACTCTTGGAGAGGATGCTGAGTGAGATGGACCTTTGGTTTTGTGCTCTTATGATTCTGCTTTCTCCTATGGGACTTCCTTACCATTGACTAGAAATCCAGCCTCACTAATTGCTTTCTGAGAACCTTTTCTGGAAACCAGTGCCTGCAGTTATAATGATGGGCTGATTTCCCATCTTCCTGGGGCTTTTGGCATATTTGATGTAAATTTAGGCAAGACAGACTGTGTGGGATTATGATAGGTCAGGTTTATTTATGAGATCCCTGCTCATAACTCTTCACACAGCTTCTCACTTACCCCTGAGGTTTTACTACTTAAAATTTCATGTCTCTACTAGGTAGGAAGGGAGAGAGGAACAGTGTTGCTCTTAACAAGTGTTGCTTGTCATTGCATTGCTTCTGCATCACAGCCAAGGGTTGTTACAACCCATATTCTTCCTCTCAGGGCAATGCTTAAGTTTCTTCATATTAATTATCACATCTTCTTTCACAAGCTGACTATAGAAGTGCCCACACAGAGGGGAAAGAGGATACAATGTCAGTGGGCAAATGGACCCTGAACCACAACTGCTGGCCTGCATGGCTGACACCCAGAAACTCAATCTGGAAAACTGTTGGGGGAAGGAGAAGAGAAATTAAGAATATTAGTAACAAGAAGGGGGGGGGGGAATGATAATTCTGTAATTACTTAGGAAAATTGGTTCTGGTAAATATATTTAAACACATTTTTTACTAACAAACCTTCTCACTCAGCACTGGCAGCTGTGGAAGTAGCGTGTGGCTCTCAGCACACCCAGTGAGCCTCCCAGCAGTCCATGGACATGGCTGCCCTGGAACATATGTGGTGGGTACATTATGCATCTGCCAGAGATGTGCTCTCAGTTGTCCCTCACAACTCTCCTTTGCTGAAGCCCTTGGATCGTGATGGAGATTGAATTTCTGGACTGACCTCCCTGTCCCCAGGGAAGAAAGAGGAGCTGTGGCTTGGTGGAGGCTCAAGTTTCAGAAGTCCTCCCACTTTGGATAGGATTTTTGCAGATGAGACGGTTCAATATCAACTGATCCCAATGTTGCAAAATCCAATGAGGGCAGGAAGGGGCTGCTGACAGTGCTGGAGTCTACAGGAACACCTCAGAAGGCCACGACACACCCGTTAAATGCAGTGTTTTTCTAGCACTTTACTGCTGTAGTTCAGGAGTACATCAGCCTTCATGTGCTAATGTGCCAAAAATTAACTGGGTGCAAAGCAGAGCTACACACAGCTTGCACCAGCAAGTGCAGCTCAGGCTTTGTGGAACCATTGGCCATGCTATGAGTGCAAGGCTCACCTATGGCTCTGCCCTGGCAGCACAGCCTGCCTGTATCTTCATGGGCAGGGGGCACAGGAGGAGAAACTATTTTATGATGATGTGGGAACCCATCCTAGTCCAAGCAGAGGGACACTTCTTGTCCTGTCAGACAGGCCTGTACTGAGGGTTTTGCAAAAATCAGCCTTTAAAAGGCATATCGGTTGCAGTAACTGCTAGGGAAGGAGGCACATGGTATCAGGTACTGTTTAGCTCTCTGTCCCTTCTTAGTGTCAGAAGAATAGGACAGAAGCCAGAGAGGGTCACCTGGAGCTGTGATTCCCCAGCAATGAGGACACCAGCTGCCTGATGTGGGTTTCATGCCCCTGCCACCCTCCTGCTTCTCCCAAGCCAGAATGAATTCTTTTTAAAAATACTGAGATATTTTGTGATGTGTCTTCATCTCCCGACTCAGGCAACAGGAGAGAAAGCCAGCCTCATGTGACACAAGGGGGTCCTTATTCTTTCTTGCCTCCTATAGCTGTATGTCATCACTAAGTGCCACAAACCTTCAGCTGTAATGTCACCTTAGCAGTGGATAACATGATCAATATGGATAAATATACCAGTCTCCAGCATACACACACACACACACACACACACACAAGCATGCACAGCCACTGCCAGCTGCAGCTGCAGCCTGCAGACACAGCAGGCTGACCACTCCGAGCTTGTGTCGCAACCCGTTTGGCCTACCAAAATAAGCATATTTACACGCCCAAATAAACAGTGGAAAAAGCCCAGCTGAACTGTTGACCAGAAAATGGAACAGGAAGTAACTGAAAAAAACCAAAACCTGCTATATATAAGTTCTGTGGGTTTTTTTAAACTAACTCTCACCATAATTAAGTACTGCCATACTTTTTTTGAATTGCTTAAAGCCTGTGGTACCAGGAGAAAAAAGGCTCCAGCCTTTCTGAACTGCTGGAGGGGCTCCTCACCCCCCATGGCAGCTGCAGCCACTGTCCCTGTCAGTGCCTGCCATGGAGCACTTTTTCCCTTCCTTTTTTTTTTGCTGATCACTTTTGTTTATTCACTTCCCCAGTTTACAAGCACCCCTTGGTGTTGCTTCCCTTCGGATGAGCCCACAGAGGGTTTTTGCCAGGCAAAAACATGGTGCTCACGATCCACTCTTGGGCGTTTGCTGAGGAGGAAGAAGTACTGATTTTGTCCTTTTGACTCTGGCCTAGTCCCTTTTCTGCCATTTCTGCCATCTGTGAGATTTACATTCGGGAAGTGACACAGGAGAAGGCGAGAATGCTCTCTCTTCAGCAAACAAGGGCCCGCTGTCAGAAAGCAGGTGTCACAGGGGACCCCGGGCCGACCAGGGAGGCCTCAACTTGCCCTGCACGGGAAACATCCCTAAGGAATGCTAGGTTATACCGCCGCCTCGGCTACCTGCAAGTCGCCTTCACCAGCAGCACCTACACGCCGAGCGCTGCTCTTGCTTCCCTCCCAAACCGGAGAGCTCTGCGGTCCCTGCTCCCCCGGGGGCGGGGGCTGCCGAGCCCACCGCCTGTCTTTGCGGGGACGGGGCAAGCAGGGAGAGGCTGCGATCCCGGATCTGCCCCCCAGCCAAGCCCTGCGGTTCACCCCTCCCGCTCCGCTGCGTGTGCTGAGCCCTCCCGGCCCCGGCTCCGGGAGCTGGGATGGGCCCGCGGGAACTCCCCGGGGGCAGCGCCCAGTCCCTGCGGCCGCTTCTCCGGCCCTCGGCAGCAAAAGGGCTCCAGCATCCAGCATTTCCCTCTTCGGCTGGAAGTACAGTCTGAAAACAACCCAAGCGGGGAGAGCAGGCGATACCTGGCGAGGAGGAGGCCCCCGGTCGTGCCTGGAAGAGCCGCCCTCCCGGGCAGCGCGGGGACGCGTGCGGGAGCGGCCGGAGCGCCTTGCCGGGGGAGGTGCGGGGGCTGCCGCTGCCCCCCCTGCCCCGGGGCGCCCCCGGGCCGGGCTCCGCGCCCCGCCGCCGATGAAGGAGCTGTTTGTGCCCGGGCAGAGGCCTCCCCCGGCGCTGGCGGCGCGCCCGGAGCGCCCGGCGGCCGCGCGTTGGCCCTGCCGGGGCCGGGGCCGGGCCCTCCGCCGCCTGCCAGAACTTTCCCCCTTGGATATTTCCCCAGCGCGCCCCAGAGGAGGCTCAGCAAGACCCGCTGTGCTGCAGGGAATACATTGTCCTTTTTTCCTCCCTCACAGGCAGTTATGTTCTGAGCGCTTCTGAAGCTGCCTCAGGGTTGCCACAGCGCTTGAGCAATCGTGCGAGCGGGCCGGGAGGGGAACTCCAGCCGTCGCAGGTCGGCGAGGGACGAGTCCCTGCCAAACCGCAACCCCCTAATGAGCACAGCCAGGCAGGGCTGTTTTCAGCGGAAAAACACAAGTTTGTCAAAAAGCAAACCTCTCTGCAGGGTCGCTAGGATGAAATCGTATAGCATATACCCCGGTTTATCGCCTCCAGGGCATTTGCCGTTGGCAGGACGTTTTGGCTAATGTTTGACGGCCTGAGCAGGACAGTGTTTGCCATCCACTCCTCCTCAGCCCCGTCGAACGGATTTCGCCATGGATCTTCCAAGCACGTGCCTTTTCTTCGTAGCCATTTAAATACAGACCAGCAGACATCCGAAGGATATCTCTATGTACAGCAACAGTGTGCACAAAATTGGGCAAACTGTTCTCTCCTCCCAGTCTAGCTGTGTTAAATGCTAAAACTAAAGCCATGATACATTACACATGAGTAGGCATAATGCCCCCAAATTATAGTATAGTTTGATTTTTCTGAGTGTTCTGAAAATAGGGGATTAAGACAGGGAAAGCAGCAGAGGAACAGAAGTTTACTTGTTTAGAAATGAAATTTTTGATGGGCTTGGTGCACTGATTGTAAAATGAACACTATTCTAAGTCATTGCAGGATATCTGCAGTAACTTTGGAGAGAATCCTTTCACATATGGAAATTTTCCTCAAATATAAATGGAGGTCATAGTGCCAGCTAATATTAAAACTGCGTGCTACTTCTTCTCCTGAGATTCTACTGCTTATTGCTTATAATTTTGCCAGATTTGAATGATTTGGATTGAAATGTTCTGTGACAGATGTTTGTACAAGGCTGAATATTTCACAGAATTCCCGATGTATCTTTTCCTGAGAAAGAGATGCAGAAAATTCAAGCTGGTTTGGGATACCAAATCTTATAATATAACATAACAAGAATCTTCTTTGGGCTAAAGTATTTTGGAAAGGTGAACACACTGTGTTTTGCAAAAGCACCCATAAATAAAGTGCAACATACTTTAGGATGAGGAAAAAGCTTTGTTCTATGTAATCTAGATGTGTGACTTCCTACCACAAATGCTTATTTATCCATGCAGGCATCTATAGAGGGAAACAATTTCAACTCTTTAGTGCTGCCATTGATATTCATACCTCTGCACTTCCCTGAAATGAACAGCACAATATAGAGCCTCTAATTCCCAGAGCCCTGATAAACTGAAGATCAGCCAATCTGTATTGAGGCCTTCAAGATACGAGAAGTTTTTTGCTACAGATGTTGATGGGAAAGATGGGAAAAAGGACAAGAACAGAGAAGAAGATCTGTGTAACAGCCCAACTGCTAAAGATCCCCTGGATGTTTGTGTATGTATTATTCTGTCTATTGTGCAAAGAATGTCCTTTTGAACTAACAAATAATTGGATGAATAGTATTCCAAGTGCAACATTCACCTATTTGTAGTTTAAGAATGCTCCTAACAAACTCTGATTGTATTGTATGTGAGTGGCTATTGTATCCTTTAACTTCGTGCAAGTCATGATTTGGGCACTCAGGAAGAGAGCACCAGCCTTCTGGCATAGAACAAACACAGCCCTAATTGTACTTGGAGCTCTTTCTGAACCGTGACCGGCAGTGGAATTCCAGCTCAAGCAGGGCTGAAGAAGTGTTTCCCTTTACCTTCGCTTTCCTTTGCTTTGCGTACTTTCCTGAATAGAGCCATAACGATAAGCAGAAACGACCTCTCTGAAAACAGAAGTGCTGACCTGCTTCTAATCTCGTGAATGACAAGGATCATTTTTGTTCCACTTCTTTAACCAGTTCAAAGATCAAGTCCAGCATCAGTGTCCACGGCAAGTTACCATTTCAGCAAAGAGTTTAAGCTGTGCCTCGTTTTGCTGTTTGCCCATTACTTACTTAGTTCTGGAGAAATTCTCTCAATATGAGGAAGAAACCAGCAGTACTGACATTCCTTTTGAAAAGCTTTGTGAAAATATTTACTGAGAGATTACCCAGTCATCTCTGGTTCTTTTGCTATGTTCATGGTGACCTCAGTCAAAACTTCTTTTTATTCTCACCACTGTGGAGAGAATTTTTGCAGGAATCAGCCCTTGATGTTGTTTTTTTCTTATTCCTATGCAAGTCTGTTCATCCCCACATGTAACATTATGAGGCAATGTTAGCAACTAAATGCCTGTAAGCACTCCATAGAGGGATCCT